AGCAGTTGCCCTGCCATACTTGCCATGCAGCCCTTACCCTGAAGCCCTTGCCCTGCAGCCCTTGCCGTGCAGCCCTTGCCATGATGCCCTTGCCCTGCAAGCCTTGCCCTGAGGCCCTTGCCCAGCAGCCCTTACACTGCAGCCCATTCTCTGCGGCCCTTTCCCTGAGGCCCTTGCCCTGAGGCCCTTGTCCTGCAGCCCTTGCCCTGAGGCCCTTGCCCTGCATCCCTTGTCCTGTAACCCTTGCCATGCCTTGCACTGCAGCCCTTGCCCTGTAGCCTTTGACCTGCAGCCCTTGCCCTGCAGCCCTTACTGTGCAGTGCTTGCCCTGAAGCCCTTGCCCTGCATCTCTTACCCTTCAGGCCTTGCTCTGCAGCCCTTGCCTTGCCTTGCCCTGAAACCCTTGCCCTGCAGCCCTTGCCCTGTGTCCTTTGCCCTGAGGCCCTTGCCCAGCTTCCCTTGCACTGCGGCCCTTGCCCTGAGGCCCTTGCCCTGCAGCCCTTGTCCTGCAGCCCTTGCCTTGCAACCCTTGCCATGCAGGCCTTGCCCTGCAGCCCTTGCCCTGTAGCCCTTCCCCTGACGTTCTTGCCCTGAGAATATTGCCCTGCAGTCCTTGTCCTGCAGCCCTTGCTGTGCCTTCCCTGATGCCCTTGCCCAGCAGCCCTTGCACTGCAGCCCTTTCCCTGAGGCCCTTGCCCTGAGTCCCTTGCTCTGCAGCCCTAGCCTGCAACCCTTACCCTGAAGCCCTTGCCCTGCAGCCCTTGTCCTGCAGCCCTTGCCATTCCTTGTCCTGTAGCCCTTGCCTGGCAGCTTTTGCCCTACAGCCATTGCCCTGCATCCCTTGCTGTGCCTTGCCCTGCATCCCTTGCCCTGAATCCCTTGCCCTGCAGTCCTTGCCCTGCAGCCCTTGCCATGCAGCGCTTGCCCTGAATCTCTTGCCCTGCACCCTTTGCCCTGAGGCCCTTGTCCTGCAGCCCTTGGCCTGTGCTTCTTGCCCTGCAGACCTCCCCATGCCCTGCCCTGCATCCCAAGCCCTGCAGCACTTGCCCTGCCATCCTTGCCATGCAGCCCTTACCCTGCAAGCCTTGCTCTGAGGCCCTTGCCCTGAGGCCCTTGCCTTGCAGAGCTTGCCCTTTAACCCTTGCCATGCAGCCCTTGCTGTGCAGCCCTTGCCATGCAGCCCTTACCCTGAAGCCCTTGCCCTGCATCCCTTGCCATGAAGCCCTTGCCCTGCAACCATTGTCCTGAGGCCCTTGCCCTGAGGCCCTTGCACTGCGACCATTACCCTGTGGCCTTTGCCCTGAGCCCCTTGCCCTAAGGCCCTTGCCATGCCTTGCCCTGCATCGCTTGTCCTGAGGCCCTTGCCCTGCATCCCTTGCCCTGTGCTCGTTGCCCTGCAGGCCTTGTCATGTCTTGTCCTGCATCCCTTGCCCTGAATCCCTTGCCCTGCAGCACTTGCCCTGCAGTCCTTGCCATGCAGCCCTTACCCTGAAGCCCTTTCCCTGCAGCCCTTGCCATGAAGCCCTTTCCCTGCAGCCCTTGCCCTGCATCCCTTGCCATTTAAAACTTGCCCTGCAGCCCTAGCCTGCAGCCCTTGTCCTGGAGCCCTTGCCCTGAAGCCCTTGCCATGACTTGCTCTGTGTCTCTTGCCCTTCGGCCCGGGCCCTCGGGCCCTTGCCCTGCAACCCTTGCCATGCCGTTCCCTGTACCCCTTGCCCTGTGGCCCTTTCCCTGAATCCCTTGCCCTGCAACCCTTGTCCTGCAGCCCTTGCCCTGCACCCCTTGCCTAGCAGCCCTTGCACTGCAACCCTTGCCCTGCGGCCCTTACCCTGAGGCTCATGCCCTGCAGCCCTTGCCCTGCGGCCCTTGCCATGCCTTGCCCTGCATCCCTTGTCCTGAATCCCTTGCCCTGCACCCCTTGCCCTGAGGCCCTTGCCCTGTAGCCCTTGCCCTGTGCTCCTTGCCCTGCAGCCCTTGCCATGCCTTGCCCTGCATCCCTTGCCCTGAATCCCTTGCCCTGCAGCACTTGCCCTGCAGTCCATGCCATGCAACCCTTACCCTGAAGCCCTTGCTGTGCAGCCCTTGCCATGCAGCCCTTGCCCTGAAGCCCTTGCCCTACAGCCCTTGCCCTGCAGCCCTTGCCCTTTAGCCCTTGCCATGAAGCCCTTGCCCTGCCCCCCTTGCCCTGAGGCCCTTGCACTGCATCCATTAACCTGTGGCCTTTGCCCTGAGGCCCTAGCCTGGCAGCCCTTGCACTGCACCCTTTCCCTGATGCCCTTGCCCTGAGGCCCTTGTCCTATAGGATTTGCCCTGCAGTCCTTGCCCTGCAACCCTTGCCATACAGCCCTAGCCTGCAGCCCTTGTCCTGTAGCCCTTGCCCTGCAGCCCTTGTCCTGCAGCCCTTGCTGTGCCTTGTCCTGCAGCCCTTGCCCTGCAGCCTTTGCCCTGCAGCCATTGCCCTGCAGCCCTTGCCCTGAATCCCTTGCCCTGCAGCCTTGCCCTGCAGCCATTTGCAAAAAGAAAAGTCTATTTGAGGCAATGGCTTGCTTCTAGAAATTCTCTCTCAAACCCCTGCATCATGACAATCCACCCTGACAGTTTTTGGGGCCATTCAACTGCAATGATTTATCCTGCTACCACTGATTTTAACAGACCTTTTGAAGTTCAGCCTGCAATGTATGGTTAAATTGCCATTTATTATGTGTAATGAAACTGGATTTGAACCCCACATCTAAGCTTGAATGTTTCTCCCATTAAATCCTCAGTTAATCTTACTTGTATTTGTGAGACACAAGAGAACACATTTGGTAAATTCCACAATCAACACTCTTGGTACCAGCAGCCAAGAAATCAAAAAACTAATTGCGTTGGGAAAGTCTGCTGTCAAGGACCTCTACAGAGTAATGAAGAGCAATGAGTTCAATCTAGAGACTAAGGTGCGCCTATTCCATACCATCATCTTCATAATTGCACTAGAGAGCTGGAAAATGACTAAGGATTATAGAAAAAGAATTGATTCCTTTGACTAGTGCTGCTGGAGAAAAGTACTGAACATAACATGAACTTCTAGGAAAACAAACACGTTCTTCCTGGAGAAGGTAACACTAGGCTGCTCCTTTAAGGCAAGGATTTTGAAGCTTTATCTGACACTGGGCATGTTTCAAGGAGTGGGCATGTTTCAAGGAGGGACCAGTCCTCGGGAAAAGACATTATGTTTGGATGGGTGAAGGGAAAGTGCAGGAGAGGAAGACTATGCATGAGCTGGACTGTCACAGTGAGTAGGCTAATGGGAGTAGGTGTGTCAGAGATAATGAGGTTGGCTGAGGATACAGCAGAATTCATATTTGTACACAGGGCCACTGTAAGTTGCATACAACTCAATGACACATAACAACAACAACAACAACAAACTATGAAGAAATAGAAATAAAGTAGTATGAAACCATGATCTTCAAAAAGGGAAGACATATTCTGTATAAATACTTTTAATTCTTACCTTCAATTTGAGTCCCTTCTGGATTAATTTCTGGTTAAGCACATTATGGAGACTTTTAGTCATAACAGGATAATTGGTTTTAAATTCGTTCTTACTGCCCTAGGGTTTTAAAAAAATGTACTCATAATTTATATTATTACCTTTGATTACATACAATGGTAATTGCAATTACCTAATAATCAAGAGGGTCAGGATTAATTTCTGAGACCTTTAATTAATCATTTAACCAGTGAAACCACTGTTTTCTTGAATATGTAGAAAGAAATTATTTTATATACATTAAGTATCAAAATATGTATCACTAAATGTGTGACTATACACAAGACATGGAATCTGCTTGGATCAGTTTCTACTTCCAAAAACTATTAAATAAGGCTTTTCAGGATCAAAATCTTATCCTATCCATAATGACAATTTTGAGCCGTTGAACTGTGGTGTTGGAGAAGAGCACTGAATAGCCCATGGACAGCCAAGAGAATGAATAGCTCTGTCTTAGAGAGGGTGCAGCTGGAGTGTTCTTTGGAGGCAAGAATGATGAGACCTCACCTCACATGCTTTGCATATGTTGCAAGGAGGGGCTATTCCTTGGAGAGGGACATGATGCTGGTGAGGGTGGAAGGTCAGCAAATGAGAGGAAGACCCTCAACCAGGTGGATCAATGTTGTGACTGCTTCAATGGGCTCTTGTGTGTCAGAAAGTGTGAGGATGGTGCAGGATAGAATAGGATTCAGATCTTTTGTTCATACGGTCACTATGAGCTGTGCTTGACTCGACGATACCTAACGACAATACTGAGATTGAATTTTACATCACCAATATTTGGAAAGGTTCTTCCTTTCCTGTAAGCAAAGTTGAAATACAATCTTTCTTCTCTTGAATTTTAAATAAAAAACTTATTTAAAATCCATCTCAAAATATTCTTGGCTTTTTTCTTATCCAATTCTGCTAAGAAGCAACACAGTAGTCATTCTGATCAGAAGAATAATTGTACTAACCCTTTAAATGTTCAAGTGTTCATCATTTTCTTAGGTGTGTAGTCATATGGTGAATTCAGAATGAAATATACAAAGAATAAAAAGTTCCAAATAATACTCATCTACTATTATAAATTAATATGAGACATAAAGGAAATATCTAAATTCTCACATTTAAAAAAATTGCACAAAAAAGAAAAACAAAGCCAATACAATATGATTAACGTCATGTTTAAAAATACTGTTGTAAAAATATAGCTTTGAGTGGATTTTGAGGCATTTCACCAAGTAAAAGGGATCCCTAATACATTCTGAGATGCCTTAGATGTTCTGTAGTACCCTTCCCTACACACCTGTGAGAGTAAAGTGCAAATCCATGAATAATCTATAAAAAAATCTATAAATTCATGGTAGAACATGAACATAAATTAAAGATATAAACAGTATTAATACAGTACTGAAGACTATACTGTGTCTTGTAAATTAAATGTTTTTAAATGTTTCTCATTTTGGCAGTTAAAAATCAAATGCTAGAGTGTCCACTGGATGTCACTGAAGTCCCCAGGGTCTCCCAGGCCCCCTTCTGCTTCAAAGTAATTCATGAATGTTGCCATGGCTGTGTCATCATTGCCACACAGGGCATCAAAATCCAACTGGGCACCATCACCTATCAAATTAAAACACAGGCCTATGTAAGCAATGGTGATGAATAAAGCCAGAAACTCACAGTTTTGAAGGCTAAAAAACAGTTAAAAGGACCACCTATTTTATAACAACTCACTGTCAAATAAATTGCACTTAACCCATGTGATGGACAGAAGTGAGCCAGAAAATGAGTTTTCTAATAGAAAATGACCCTGTTAAAAGCTTTTACTAGAAAGGAGAAAGCCAGGGGCTAGGGTTCAGGTGTGTTGGGTGAGAATCTAGAAAGGGAACTGTACCTGTAACGTGTTTTGCAAAAATCCTCCCTACGTTTAGCTCAGGGGGAAAAAAGACCAAAAGTATCATCTCCAAAACGATGAAATATTCTTATAAAGAAAGGCTAACCAGTCTATTTTTAATGGAAAAAGAAAATATGAAGGAGGCATGGAAATAGAATTTAAGATACAGTTAAGGAAGAGATTCTAGAAATTGAGGGTTGGGTTTTTTTTTTTTAAAAAAAGAGATAAACTGAAATTTTCCAGATTATCTTTTCAAAGTACAATAGAGTTTGAGATGGTTAGTATGCTGCTCTGTACAATGCCAATACCCGGGTTCACTCTGGTCCTCTTTGGAGTCCCTTTAATGTACATTTCAGTAATCAATATTAGTTTTGGAGGGCATGATGGTACCATTTCAATGTACTCAATTTGGACTTTGCATAAGGATTATTCAAATGAATAAGTACATCTTGGACCAACAATGATTTGTACCCTTTGAAACTCCTTGAAAATAGAAATTCCTGAGGCTGGACTTGTTCCCCTTACATAGAAATCACTGAATCAGGAAAGAACTACATTTTAATGACAGGTCCATGAAAGGACATATATTTAAAAATCAAGACTGTGATTATCCCATTTCAGAATTTTAAATGGAACAATTTTAATTTCAAAGCTACTTTCACCTCTAGAAATCTCCCATGCCTGAAAATATAGTCATTAAGAAAGAGTTTTTAAAAAAATGGCAGACAACTGCCAAGGGAAACTTACTGAGGAATAATGGCCAGTCACCGTGGAAAGCAGTGGGGCTCTGGTTTTGGCTTGTAGCTTTTTTTTAAAATTTTTTATTATTTTGTGTGTGTGTACCATCAAATCAGATCTGACTGGTACAGGAGGAGATTGTCCCACCTTCTCCAGCAGAGCATCTGGTGGATTTGAACCGCGTACTTCTAGGATTGCAGTGGAGCTTCTTGCCACTAGGCCACCAGAGCTCACCGGCTTGTAGCTTTTAACTCCTCTATTTCAGAAGGTCTCTGTGGCAGCAACTTTTGGTTTGATGCCTGGAGTGGCAGGCAGAATGATAAATGCTTAGTGAGGTTCCTACTTAAATGAAATAAAGACCTCTGAGAAAACAATTAAGGAGCCCTGCTGGTGTACTGCATTATGTATTGTGCTCTCAACCAAAAGGCCAGGGGTTCAAATCTACCAGCTTCTCCATGGGAGAAGATGGGAACTATCTGTCTGTAAATATTTAAAGCCTCAGAAACCTAATGGAGAGTCACTATGTTGGAATTAACTTGACTTTAGTAGGTAGCTGGTTATCAAGCATCACTAGATACAGGCCTGCCATTATCAGCATGACAGCTAACAGTCACTGAGAATGCATCCTCTCATTCATCTTTCCTGTTGTGACAGAGGTATGCTACAGGTCAGGAATCTGAGGTCTAAAAAGGCTAATATAATATCCTGACTGCCTCACTGGGTTTCTGAGCCTGTTAGAACCAAGATTTTAATCTCACTGTATCTGATTCCAAAGCCTTCACAATCTTAGTCATAACTAAAGTACATACTATAAGAACAAGTTTTAGGTAAGGAACAAAAAGTTCACGAGTTAATGCTTTGGGTTAAAGTTGTTTCAGTATTTTACAAATGATGGCAAAACTATTTAAAACTGCTATGGGAAACACTATTTAGAGTGGGACCTGATTAAGCCAGGTGCTTTCACCAACAATCATTATATATAGTTGCAGGGCAATTAAGTACTCACTGAAGCTCATCAGAATACTGTGAAATAATTTACCTATGTTGTTGTTGTTGTTAAGTGCTGTCGAGCCATAGGCACCTCATAGTGACCCTATGAATGAAAGACTTGAACACTTGCGTAACTTTCATCTTTTCTCCAGGTTCACAGGGTTTCGAGAGGCAAGCTATTTTGGAAGTGGATGCCACTCCAGCTTCCAAGCTTTTTTTAATCGGGGAGCTTCACCAAACCCTGTCCACCATGGGTAACCATTATCGCGTTTGACACAGTAGTGTCACAGTGTTCAGCTTCACAACAACCACGAGTTACCTCTGTACAGCAAGTGGACACGCCAGGGCTATACTATCTAGAAGAATGTTTGACCAAATACTGTCTTATAAATCTTACATATTTTTTCCTATTGCCTAGTCCATAGGGAGATGCACTGCTAACCCAAAGGCCATTTCTCTCTGATTTGATCCACCACGAAAAACAGGAAATATCCTCCTGAGTGATTTACAGCCTCAGAAATCCACTGGCAGGTCAACTATGAGTTGGTTCTGACTTGATTGAAGTGAGTTATATAATGGCAGGGAGTTGAGTTTTGTATTTGGGAGTCTATTAAACGTATAATAGCATTATATACCTACTTGGGGATATTTATTCTCCATGATATTTGCTTTCTATAGTAATAACTTGCATCTTTCTTTCTAGGATATTGTTGTTGTTATTGTGTACCACAGAGTCAGAATCAACCCATAGTTGACCCTCCAATGGGGCCTCAGAGGCAGTTTAAGTGCATGGGAGGAGATTGCCCATTCTTCTCCCATCGAGCAGCTGGTGGATTCGAACTGCATGCCTTTGGGATTGTAGTGCAGATTCTTACCACTTTTGAACAACAGCTTCTTGGTCAACATACAGGTTTTGTACGAGTACAGTTAAGTTTTCTGGAATTCTCATTCTTCTCAATGTTAGCTATAATTTGTTTTTCGCCACACAGTCAGTTTCCTTTTGCATAATCAATAAAACACAAATAAACAAAAAAGAAAGGTCTGTTTATACTCTGAGCTCCACAGCGTGTTGTGCTGCTAAACACGGCTTACTCACAGGCCACTCCTCTCTGGCAGTTTGAATTCACAAACTTCACCAGAGAAACATGGGCAGTCTCCTTCTGTGAGCTCTACAGGCCAAGAAACCTGATGAGTGTCACCAGGAATCAGTATTAAGTCAATGCCTATGAGTGTGGTTCCGAGTTTTGTTAGTCTATTAATTACCAAAATATGACACATAGACATGATATGATGTTTAAAAATTTAAAAAATAATAACATTAATAGACTTGCTCAATGCAGAGTTGCCATAAATCTTCAATCTGTAAAAAGTGTAATAACTATGAAGTGCAATAAAATGAGGCACACTTGTACTTTGGAGCTTTTTGTTGCCTGTGTTACATCAGAATTATAATGTAAATTAATCTTCAAGATGTTGAGCACTGTTTAGTAATTTCTGTACATGCAAAAAAATCACGTAGAAAAGGTTGTTCAAGATCTCTATGGTACAGTGGGTTAAATGTTGGTCAGCTAACCAAAAGGTTGGTGGTTTGAACCCATCAACCCCTCTGTGGCAGAAAGGTGTTCTGTTCTTATGAAGACCTACAGTCCCAGAATCCCAATGGGCAATTCTCCTCTATCCAACAGGGCTGCTCCCTAGTTAAAAGTAACCTCCTGCCAATGGATTTTGTTTCAGAGCATTTGTTCAATTGAACAAAATTTTATTTCTTGTGGCTTACATTATTTAAACTTCCCCCCAGGCCTCCTGGGGGACACACACACATTTATTAAATCCACTGTGCTGGAACTTATATTAAATAAGTAACATAACAGTAACTACCATTTATTGAGAATGTGCCAGGAACTGTTGATGAACTTTTGTTTGCTTGTTTTTGTATTAAATCGCTTAGCGCTCATGCTAATCTAAAGAATGGCGCATTCTTCTCTTTGTTTTACAGACAAGGAGGTTGAGAAAAAGAGTCACAGTAATAAGCCTTAGTTACCCACCAGTAAAAGTATCTGAACTCCAGTTTGGATCCTGGGGTGTGATTCTAGTGACTACATTATTAGCCACTCTTGTACACAGTCTCTTAATAATCATCAACTGGCTGCAAAGAAGAAATTTATTTTTCATTAAATTACTTCTTTTCCCCTGAAGAATTAATTAATCTACTACTAACCTTATTACTAATTCACTTAATGAATATTATTACTTTCAACCGTACTTAACACTCCTGTAGTTTACCTTGGTAGGATCTTTCGTTATATCTGTTGGATTGGAATCACCAAGAGACTAAACACACTGTAACCTTTAAAAAGACATACACAAAGCCATTTGTTATATATATATTTAGAAGAAAATTTTCTTCTTTGAATATATAATAGTCTACCAAAAATATAAAGATACACTTGAAGATGAATATTAATAAGTTTCCACAATTGGACAGATCTGTTAGGTGCCAGACTTATTTCCAACTGTAGAGTATTAAATAATATACTACAGTAAGCAGAAAAAGAAAATTCTGGGGTGAAGGCTCTTAACACATACTGCATGCCTTAATAGTATACTTGGTGATGCAGTAATTAAAGCATTTGGCTAGTAAATAAAAAGTCAGGTGTTTGAACCCACCAGCAGCTTCTCCATGGGACAAAGATGTGGCAATCTGTTTCCAGGAAGATTTACAGCCTTGAAAATTCCAAGGGATAGATCTATTCTGTCCTATAGGGTCACAATGAAGCAGAACATGATTCTATAACAATTCTATGCTATTATATAGTTTTATATAATTTGGGGTTTGGGGTTTTGGTCTTAATATAGTACATGGCAAAAGAATGGAGGCACAGCACATTCAGTTTAACATATGCACTCACACAAAGGGTTATCAGCACATCAAGGTACCAGCAGAACTGAATGTTTTATTAACCCTCTGCAACTTCTCTAAAATGAAAAGCATCTCAGGGTTTTGCAGCAACATCAGTACCAGGTACAAAATCAGTGTGACACATACAATGAATGGAAGTACATAGACCTAACTTTATGTGTTTGTGTATTCCCAAGAAAGCAGCTGAGCACAAAAGAGAGAGGAAGAAAATTAGAGAAACTCAGAGATGAAAAGACCAGTGGCCTAAATTTACCTACCCACTGAATCTTGATGTAAAGATGAAAAAACTCCCTGCATTCATCTCATCCTCTTCAATATTAGATTATTCCCCTGAACCTCATCTTATTAAAACCCAGGTCAGAGCTCACTTTTAAGCATCTTCATTACTTGGCACTGCCTTAATTAAAATTCCCCAATGCACAACTCAAATCCTCTATGGAATCATTCTCTGAGACCACAAACCTTTCTCCTACTCATGTCCATAGTGTTGCCAAGTTTCTTTCATATGTTGTTGTTATGTGCCATATATATATTCTTTATTTCATATATATTATTTATATATTCATATACACATTATTTATATATTCATATAGATATATATTATTTTAATGCTACTTTGCTGTATCTTCAACATTCTAGTGCTAGCTAGCTAGCTATCAAAATTTGGTTCAATATCTTCTTCTCTTAAAATGTCCTTTAAAATACACTGAGGGGTTTTTTCCATTTTTAAGTCATTGATAGTAGTAAAATCTTAAAGCAGGAATAAAACTTGGAGCCTTTAAAGTTAATATTGAATTAGTTAATAAAAATTGTGAGTTACACAATTAACATTTCATAATATACTTTATGTCACTGTACATTCTGTTTCTTATGAAGAGATTCACATATACCATAAAAGTCTACAATCTCTCATCTAAAATTCTTTTTAAAAGTCCTACTTTTCCCTCTTTATTATGCATATTTACACACTTAACTCCAGAAACATTTTAAAGCTTTTTATTATGGAAAATTTAAACCAGATATAAAAGAATATTATTGTTGTTAGGTGACAGTAAGTGCACCACAAGTCAAACCATGCCCTATCCAGTGTCTGCCACACCATGTCTGCCATCCTTGGGTTCAATGTTAGTCACTACGTCAATGCATCTTGTTGTTGGTCTTCCTCATTTTCAATAAGCCTCTACGTTTCCCAAACGATGTCTTTTTCCAAGAACTGGCCCCTCCTAACAACATGTCCAAAGTATGAGACATGAAATCTCATCAACCTTGCCTCTAATAGGACCCTGGTTGCACTTCCTCCAAGATAGATTTGTTAGTTCTTTTGGCAGTCCATGGGGTTATTCAGTACTCTTCTCCAATCCCACAATTGAAAGACACAAATTCTCTGTCACCCTTACTCACCATCCAATTTTCACATGCATAGGAAGCAAATTAAAATGCTATGGCTTGAACCAGGTACACTTTAGTCTTTAAAAGGATATCTTTAACACTTTTTAATTTTAAAAGTCTAATTAAATCTTGAAACCCACTAAATAGTTTCAATAACCACAAACTCATTTCTAACTTTTTTTTGTGTATGTGCATGTACCATCAAATAGGATCTGACTGTTACAGGAGGAAATTATCCCTCCTCTGCAGCCTAGCATCTGGTGGATTCGAACCACACACCTCTGGGATTGCAGTGCAGCTTCTTGCCGCTGGGCCACCACAGATCATGTCTCTTCTCACCCATCATTTAATCTGTATATATTTCTCATTGCAAGAAATAATTTTTTTTTCATTTGATTGTAGGGTGCTGCCCATGATATAACTGCTTTCTAGGTCTATTGTTTTTGTTTTTGTTATGTGCCATCGAGTGAACTGAAACTCATATCGACCCTATGTACAACAGCCCTAAACCCTGCTCTATCTCTTGCCAATTTTATTGTCTCCAATATGCCTATCCCCATTACCCTAGAGACAGAATCAATTCATCTCATCGAGGATTTTCCTCTCCAGCGCTGTCCCTCCACCCTCCCAAGCATGACGTCCCTCTCCAAGGACTGGTCCCTCCTTGCAACATGTCCAAAGTATGTTATACAAATCTTCAGAATCCTTGCCTCCAAGGATCAGGCTGGCTTCACCCTCTCCAGGATGAATTTGTTCTCCTAGCAGTCCATGGTATATTTAATACTCTTCTCCAGCACCACAGCTCAAAGGCTTCAACTATCCTCCTATCATCCCTAGTCACTGTCCAGCTCTCTGATGCACAACAAGTAATTGCAAAGACCATGGCCTGTATCAGGTACACCTTAGTCTGCAGACTGATATCATTGCTCTTCAGTA